ATTTTGCATAGGATACAGATCCAGTTGAGAGGGCAACCCGAGGTGTCACGATGGGCATCCTCACTGTTCTGGAGGACTACGTGGGACCCAACTCGCAATCCACAGGGGTCAACACTGCCATTGTTTTGGAAGAGGTCATTATTCTTGATGATCTGCCAGACCTTCCCACTGCCTTTGCCTACCTGTTTGGCCTACTTTATGGGCTCAACATGGAGTTTCCCAAAGAACTCAAGTACACATTTGTTTGCTGTATGGTAACCAGGTAGAAGAGTTCACATCCTGCCATCTGATGTTTTGAATCTGTTTGTTAGTGACTATCAATCAAGATAGGTTTGATATTCTGTCTGACAATACCACACCTTTAAAATTGGATAAATAACATTTATTACAAAAATTTGACTTTTTTTTATTTTTGGAAAAGGACTTTATTTGTGGCTGAATGTTGTCAGTATGTTAAAAATGTCTCATCTCAAAACATTGTCAGTGGTGCAGCTGTGTTTGAACACAACAAAGTTATTTGAAAATCAACATTGTGTAAACATTCATTAATACAACAGGGAAACTATAAAGGATACTTTTTACTTTTTCTAGACTTTAGGAAATTGATTGGCAAAACAAAAAAAAAATGTTGTGTAAACTTTAGCAATTACATTGTTAAAACAATAAAAAATATATTTTGTAAACTTAGGAAATACGTTGCCCAAACTAAAACTAATACCTTGTGTAAACTTTAGGAAATACATTGCTAAAACAATAAAATATGAGTTAAGAAAAAGCACAGTTATTAATCTTGTAAACACCAAAACATTAGTTGAAGCAACTTTTCTCCTAAACTTGAAATTATAAGTTATCCATCAGAACCTAAAAACGTAAATGCAGTGGGTTGCCTTGAGTTTTTAAGTTTTCACAACATTTTTTTTTTTACAGTGTAGTAGAAAAAAGACGGGATGGAACTTTTATTTTAATAGAAATCAAGATTTGGTGATATGAAGGATGAATGAACTCTAATAATAAAATTCCTTCACGTATAATGTGTTGGAGTTTCTTCTAACCCTACTGATGAAATTGTCTTCAAAAGAAAACTCGGTAAATGCGTCACAGACACATCTGATTGTGTTAAAGCGCCCTCTGGTGGAAGGCTTTTAGACACTGGAGCTGGACCACAAACAGTCACTATGAGACCTCGATAACAGACTCAACAATGATTGTTTCTAAAATAAACATGGTCAGTGTTGCCCACAAGCAAAAACCCAAAACATTTTGGGACTTAAATTCATGAGACTATCATCAGTGTATTGATTGATATGATTTCTGGCTGGAGTCAGAGGTGCAGGATTGTTTTCACAAGAAGTGACCACTGATACAAATATCAGTCCACGTCCCTGTACGTTTCTAGCTGACTCTCAGGTGTGACAGGTGTGCCAGCAGGAAAGAGTAATAATAACCTGCAT